CTGGAAATCCAAGACTTGCAGCATACATTTCTCCCTCTCGCTGGTGTCATGGGCTAGAGTTGGGTCATATGTCCACACAAGTGACAGCATTTCACTAGCAAGGGAATGGGACTACCATGATTGGCTTGAAGAATTCTGCTTCCTCTCCTGGACTAGAGAAGGGCCTTCTTCTCTGAGCATAGGAGCTGGTGAATATCTGCACCTCAAGGAACAAGGAGGAATTTGAGGAATATCTATCAGGAGAGCAACTGACAATGCTCCCCAATGGCTTTTTGGATAACAGTTTTTATTTGAATACATTATTAGTATTCAGTGTTTCATCATATTACTGAAGTAAATATTGTTTTTCTCCCACACTGACAGAATTATCCTGGTGTGCCTCTTGAGGGCGAAAGTTATCCTAGGAGGGAAGAACGTTTATCCTAGGGCCTACTTTTTTTTTTTTTTTTCATTTTGATCCAACTAGAAAATATTTAATCAACAACCCCAAAGCTTTCACACAGACACAAGAAGATCTTGTTCATCTCAGCCCAAATCTATCAGTTATGCAGGTAATATTTCACATTACTTTAGAACAGAATTGAATGGAAACAGAATGGAAACCTGACTTTTAATTTCCATTTCTGCTTGCTCCTAAAATAAGAAATGACAGAACATTTTTGCAACAGGAATGACTTTCAAAAAGTGTTTAGAAAAATAGTTTTATTTCAAGAAAAACTGCAATACAGCACAGCCCAGTGGTCAAGGACTAGGACTGTGAGGACACTGGAACTTGATTTGAGTCACTGTGTCCTATTTGGTGGTGATGTGATGGTAGGCCTCACCTGCAAAATGAAGAACATAAGCATACCTACTTCAAAGGCTTTTGTGGAAGTTGAATGAGACCAAAATATGTCCATATGCCTTCATATATTTATTCTTACTAGAACATAGTAAGCATTCAACAAATTTTGACTGTTTTTCCTGATAACAATACCAGCAAAAGTTTATAAACATCCAAGTTAACATTTTCCTACACATGATAGTTAAAATCAAACTCACAATTTTCAGAAGTAACAACTTTGAGAAACAATATGAGGGCTGCCATACAGTTTATACTTCAATGTTATGGGAGGTCTGGCATTGGTTCTTGTGCCTCTTCCAAAGGGTTGTCCAATTGGCTTGATGTGGATCCAAACTTAAAACCAGAGTGGTGGCTTTACTGCCTTTTCAGGGAAAAGAACTGCCATCAGTGCTACATAAACATTAGAATTTCACTTTCTATTGATCCAAGGAGTGTCAGTCTGCTTCTTGAGAAGTAAGCAGTACGAACATGTTGATACGGTGTCACAAATCTTTCAGCTTCCCTAGTTATTGTCCTGGTAAGCTACATGTTCTACATTTCAAACCAAAACTACATGAAGGCAGAAAAATTTGGCAGAATGAACTGTGCATGTGGATATAAACGTCAGTTCCTAAGCAGAAAAAAAAAAATGTATGTCCTTCATAAAACATTGCAACTCCTTTTTCTTAGAATCTCTATATCATACTTTACATTAGGAAAACTTTCAGTAATTTTCTCATCAAGTCAGAAAAATAGCTCATCAGCCTAAGCTTTTGCCTACATTCTCTTGCTCAAATTTTGGGTGTGCCTCCTCTGATTGGCCCAAGGGCCCATGTTAACTAACAAAGTCTCTTCATGTGAGAGGGCATGGAATTGAGGTACTGCAGAACCCACTTTGTCAGGAGGGGCTTACTTACAACTTTGGGTTGTAAGTAATAAACCCAACTCAGACTCATGTAAGTAAAAAAGTAAATGTATTATAAATGTAACTGGGTATCTCAGTGAATCAAGAGCAAAGGGAAACGTTCATATTCAAAAGGCTTGAGAGGTAACTCGGCTTACAGACATCCTGGCAGCAGAGTCATACCCGCAGTTCCAGGGTTTCCCTTCACCATCTTGCTTCTGTTTCCCTGAATGGTAGCTCCCTTCTTTTTCATCAGTGCATGTTGACTTCCTCCAAATGACAGAAGACTGCCATTGATTTTCTAGCTTTATATGTTAGAGCTTCAACCACACAGAACAAGACTAATGTTTTCAGTTCTAATTCCAAAGTCCTAGGGGAAAACACAAAACAAAACAAAACTCAGCTAAGTCCAGCTTGGATCGCATTAACTAGGGCAAAGAGACAGAATACCATTTGGATCCATTTGGTAAAGTGCCAATCAACCACTGCCTACAAGCGATATCATTGTACTAATACATCAGTTCCAGTGGTTAAAAAAAAATGGGTGGAGCTGCTCTCACCAGAAGAGGTGCCGGTCTGACTATTCCAGAGATGTTCACCATTACATGGATATCTGAGAATACATAGCAAGAAGTAGATAACTCTAGCTTCCCATTTGCCAGCAAAGACTGCCTATGATCCTTGGGAATTTCCCATTAGTGCTATCAATTCATTGTTAGAAAGTTCAGGATGGTGGGATGGCAGGAGGTGGGGGTGGGGGTGGGGAATGATTGCACATGAAAGGAACAGAGCCAGGAGAAGGGAAGGAGGGTGCATCAAGGAAGCATTGACAACTTGAAGCAGATGTCTCTGGCTCCCAGATCTTTTCATATGAAATCCTTTTTGTTCTCCCAGCTGCCTCTCTTCCCTCCTGCCTTACACCTCTTTCTAATATTTTCTCGCACTGTTTTTAAAATGAAGACTTTCTGTGTCACTCATAAGACTCTGTCCTCTGCAGAAGCTGTGCTCTACTTTAGGCAAAAGTTTGAAGCAAGGCTGAGTTTGTCTCTTCAGAAAAGTACTTTCCCATGTCTTCTTGTTCTTTTTCTTAGAACAAGAAAATCTGAGGGTTGGAGGAGACCTATCTGGAGTGCCAGCAAGTCCATCCATTACTGCGTATATCCCATGCCTGGCATCTATGCCCAGTGGCCATCCAGACTGCTTGACCACATACCACAAAGGGGCACTCACCACTTTTCAGAAGAGCCCAGTGTATCTCTAGATAATTCTGACTATTACGAGTACTTCCTTGTATTAAGCTCCTACTGGGACAAAATGTGTCTTTCCTTGTTGCTTGCACCTGTTGGTCCTAGTTCTAACACCCAGAAACAAACAAACAAGTCTAATCTCTTTCCTACATGCTCACCTTCCAAGAGATCCATCATGTTTTGATGTCTTTCCCTCTGATCTTTCTTCTTCATGCTGAGCAACTGTTCTTCCTCTAACTCTTCTCTGTCATATGGAATTTCAAGTACCTCTATTAACCAGGACACTCTGTTCTAGAAGCCTCACTTACTTAAATGTTTTTAATCTCACCCCCCTCCATAACCAGACATAATATTCCAGAAGTGGAATAATCAGCACAGAAAGAACAGGACTCATAATATCTTTCATTATAAATGTAGAACTTCAGGAAAATCACATTTATCTTTTAGGAAGATCAAACCTATGCTTAATCACTCTCATGCTGAAAATTTTGTAATAATTTATAATGAAATTTAAATGATGGACAAGAGTGGCATTTAAATTTTACAAGTGAATTTCAGGCATCAGTAGTTGAAATTAGAATGAAAGGAGGTAGGGGGAATTTGTGAATTCCCATAGTTCTTCAAATCATGTGTTTGCTTTACTTCTTATTCATAATGCTAGTACTAGCCATTAAGTGAAAAACAGTAGGCAGAGTAAATGCATATCAGGGGATCATTTGATTCCTTTCTTCCTCTTCATGAAATTCATATACTTAACAAACATTTGTGTTCTGGCTATACACACAACACATACACAGAGCCTGGTGCAAGCACTCTAATGTACACCCAGCCCTCAAGGAGCTAACAATTTAAAAGCTGTAAAACAAGTCTTTGCTCTTCTCACTGAAGGGTGCTGTGTAAGCCAGTTAATAAAAGAACAACAAGAGGTCACCATGTTGGATTGGGTGGCACAGTGCATTAGTCTGAATAAACTCTTGCCTTTCTTGTCCTGGAAGCACAGCTAGAAGCAGAACCTAATGTAAAGAAGCTTGAGTGAAGCTTAAAGGATCAATCAAAGAATCTCTAGCCTCATGTAAAATGGACATCCTTCCATAGGGACACACTGAGTCTTGCCTTTTTCTGTAGTCACTTACAGATTCATCAGGGAAACTGATTATCTCAGAAAATAGTACAGAATATATTTTTTCTATTAATGTATTTCCAGGTTTAAAATGAGAGTATGGCATACATATGTCTAGATCCTAGATCAGACAAATTTAAAACTTTGAATCATAAAATTTAATATGAAATAAGTGATGACTTATAATCTTGTCATAAGCATACCTGCTCATTTTTTTCTAGAATCATCTGAATATGTGACAAGCTTCTCAACAATGGCAACAATAGATGTCCCAGGCCCTGTGAAACTGCGTATCAGCAAGGGAGTTTGGCACTTTTTCTGTCAGCAATGTATGTCCCTGACCTACTTCCATCTCTATGAAGGAAGTTAAAAAATTTTGACAAATCAGGACAGGCCTGGGAGCCCAAGTTCACAGCCATAGAGCTTGTTGGTTTCCTCGTGTTAGTAAAGCTAAAATTGAGATTTCATCATCTTGTTAGCCTCATAAAGTTTGAGGCTAGTGGGCTCTGGTGTAACCCTAACCTCATTTGGTTACTATAAAAGAGGAAATGCAAGACTATAGACAGCTTGAAACACATCCTACATACCACACAACAAAGGAAATAAATTCAAGATCCTTAGATTGAGGAGAATCAACTTCATCTTTAAGGCATAACTCATGGTTGTATTTAGCAACTTACCGAAAGGATAGCAGTCTCAGTATTATTTATTCTTCTTCTGAACAATGCTAACAAACATAGTATTCATAATCTCTCTAGAATGAAAACAAAGAACAACTTCAAAATTGGTGTGTTAAATTGAACAATTGGGAATGTTTAAGATTAGTTGCTTTTATCTATTACCAAAGGCAGAATTACCTATTTTCTACTTTCATTTCTTACATAAAGTCTTTTATTTCTCCAACAGGCTACTTGGTTTTTACAAGGGAATTCTACCACCAATATTGGCTGAAACACCAAAAAGAGCAGTGAAGGTAAGCAAAGTATGAGGTCTGCCCAGAAGGTATAAGCCATGTAATATGAAAAATAGAGACATTTATTGAATTACCTACAAGCTACAAGACATACAAGATAGAAAAAACATTGTACATAGTACAATCACGTCTCAGTCCCCTTCAAAGTAAGCACCTTGGGACCTCACACAGTTCTCCCAATCACCATCAGCTGCCCCATCTTATTTTCCTAAATCTCATTGACAGTCTGAAATCTCTTCCCTTTCAAAGGTGATTCTAGTTTTGGGAAAAGCCAGAAGTCATAGCCAAATCCAGGCTGTAGCAGGGCTGAGTCACCTGGATTCCACCAAAAAAACTCTGCATGAGGTGTGATGCATGAGCAGGCGTGTTGTTGTGATGAAGCTGCCAATCACCAGTTGCCCATAGCTGTGGTCTTCTGAATCATCCGAATAGTTTCCACGGAGCAATGTTCAAGCTTACTGCAAAATTTGATGCAGATTTGTTGTTCTACTTGCTCAGTCATTTTGAATGTGACGGCCACACAGTATACATGCTCACTAAACAGCATCTACCATCCCCACTGAGTAGTACAGTGAAGTCATCATTGTTCACGCATGTGCATTCTTGTCCACTCTCCTTGGCTGCCAGGTTACATCAATGTTTTGAAAACTGTTCTTGTTATATTAACAATGGCTGCGCTTTTTCCAGACAGACCTTGTATGCTTTCCAACCAGGTGAAAGTACACTACAGTGACAACTTCTACATTAAAACATCCCACACTAACCCATGGGGGCATTAATGTGAATTAAAAACAAGAAAAAATTTTTATTGCAGAAATTATAGCATAGCTTTTATTCTAATTAGGCTTGATCAATCTCTGCAATATTAGTTTGAGGATTATTTTTTCAGGTAAAGGCACTCCCTTCTAATGGAGAAATCATACAAAAAGCACAATGGTGAATGAAATTCATGTAATCGGAACACAGTAGCCACAAGATAGCTGGACCTTTTCTCAAAGTAATTCATAAGTTTTCCATTGGAACAATAATTATTAAAGAAAGAGAGAAGGAAAAGGGAAGAGAGGGAATAGGTGGAAAAACCTTTCTCCCTAAATCATTCCCATTTTATGAACAAACTAATACACTGTATTTCCTTGATATGATTCTCATATAACATTTATTTGGCATGCTGACTTCATTCCCCTCACCTCTGCATCTCCTCTGTTAAAATGTTCTCTTCTGGCTTTTACAAAATTATTATTTCCATTGTCCTGATTTCCATCTTCTTAATGACATAACTATGGAGTTTATGTGCTACTTACTGGTTTAGTATCTGGGCAGGAACATGAAGATCTAGCAGGGCTTCTGAGGAAATAGGAACTAAGTCTGATCACTTTTTTATGTGTTCTCTCAGATAAAAGTCCAGATCACAGAAACTCTAGCTGGCATTGATCCCCACACCCACACCACTGACAGCACTAAATATGGCTTTGTCTTTCCATGATAAGGATAACATAAACTTAGACTGAAATACTTCCTTTTCAATTAATGACAAAGCTTTTTTCTCACATACACTGCTCACTCCACATTCCTGATATTCCTGAAAGATGAGAAGTGTACTTGTACTCAAGAAGAGGGTGGCTAGGTTAAAATTTATGATAAAATAACCACTTATATACACAGACACCAAACTTTTACATTATTTTAAAATAGTAAGTTAATAGGACTTAATTCAGGTCTATAATTCAGAAAGCAAAGCTTTAAAACACACTTCCTCTATCAATTCATCCTTTTTTTTGCCATAGTCTTGATGATTACACTTTATTACTTCAATACAAATTTCATTATAAGGATCTGAATCTCAGTAGAGAATCTGGAAAAAGTTCACCAAAGTACACATGAGGGCTGAATTGAATTATGAAATGGCTTCACTTGATAAAAGATTGCCCAAGTAAACAAACAGAGCTGAGTTCCTGTTCAAACGGAAAGTCATTTTGTCTCTGTGGAATGATATATTCATTTGTTCGGTGTTTTACATGTATAAATAAATTATAATTGAAGTTTTTCCTGGAATATTCTTTCTTAATACTATACATTGGAGGCAACTTAAACTTTAAAAGGATTAAGTTTTATCAATGTTGAACAGTCTTTTACTGAAGGAAAAAAAATCATTGAGCTTTACAAAACTGAGTTAGTCTCTACTAAAAAAAAAAAAAAAAGCAATGCTCCCTGTCAGAACAATGGTTAACAGATGAACTTTTGGGCAACTGGATATGGTATATGTGTCCCAGACATCTTGTTTCAAGTAGTTTTTACCTTAAAATTATTGAGACATATGGTAAGTACGTTGGCTTTTTAAGTATAACTTGGAGTTAAAGTGTATCTTTGCCAGATGGATAGCACTACTTTTTCAACACAATTTATGAAAACATTCATTTTATAGATATTTATCTTAGGATTTGTGAGGAAAGTGATCATGTGATAGTAACAATTTCATACATCATAAACTGCTTCATTGTATGTCATCAAAGTGTACTTCAGAAAAAATATTCAGAAATCATATATGTGTGTATACACACACATACACACACATATATATACTCTATGAATTCTTTATATATACATGGATATAGATATAGATATAGATCGTCCTTGGAAGTGACACTTCAGTTACAATCACTATTATAATCAGAAACAGACAAAGTCAAGCTTTTCTGGTACTTGATTCTTTGAAATACGATTCATCATGAAAATAATAAGATTCATTGATGCTGAGTAAATGAAACTTTCTCTTTTACAAATGAAGACCGTTAGTATTGTAGTTAGCAAAAGGAAATGAAGACTTCAGAAAGAGACCAACTGGTTCCCCAGAAACAGGCAGCACCACATTCCAGGTTCCAGGGTTCAGTCTTGAGCGCCACAGTTCCAGAAACACCATTTTTCCATGATCAGACCCTCAGGGAATGCTTATTCCTAAGAAAACTCATGAGAGATTATAAACTGTGAAGGCTGTTTGTTCACCACTATTCCTATGCCTGTCGTAGTGTGTACAAATAGTAGATGTTCAGCTGATATTATAGGAGCAAATGGAATATATAGGGAGAGAGAAACAGAAAGAAAATTTATTGATTTCTGACAGGAGACATTCCTGCCCTGTTCCCCGAAATTCCCACATCTACTATTCAGAATTTCTGGAAGGCCAAAACTTCCATTTCCAGCCAAGATGGAGTAACAGGGACCAGACTTACTCTCTTCCCTGAAACAGCAACAATAAAAAATGAACAAAATATGAAACCACAATTTTCAAGACACAGGACATCAGACAAGGAAGGACAGAGAGACGGGAAACAAAGGGAATGAGCTTATGGATTGCCCCACCTTACTGCCTTGAAAGGGTTTCCAGGCCCAGGAGCAGGCAGGGGAATACAGGCAGAGGTGTGTGGATTCCCTGGATTGAGAAGGACCTGAGAGGCTGGGGAGGGCAAGGTAACTGCAGTTCACTGGACAGAGTACCAGAGAGGGGAGAGCTGCACTGAGCAAGAAGTCCTAAGATCTGCAGAGACACCCGGTAAGTATTCAGCTGAGAACTACCAGTGCATGCATGTAAGGAAACTCGCAGGCCTGAGAAAGAGCCATCCAAGGAATTAGAGGGAACAATGCTCTAGCCACATGAGGTTGAGAATAGTACCCGTTCCAACCAGCCAAGCTGGAAGGCTTCAAAATGCACAGGGCACTGCAAGGAGGACTCAGAAGGGGCTTGCCTCCATGGTAATGCAATGAGAGAAAGTCAAAAAGGAGAAAAAAAAAGCACATCTTCACACTGGAAGGGATCAAGGTAATTAAGCCTTTTGTAAGTCCATCATCTCCCAGAACTTCCTGAACCCAGTGAGGACCCTTAGAGCAGTGTTTCCAAAATGTGGACTGTGACCCATAAGTAATGAAATCAGGTGAGTGAGTCACTAGATGTAGTGGGTCATGACCAGAAATGTTTTTAATGAAGTAGAATAGAAACGGAATTACACTTAGTAAAAGGGTAAATATTATTTTATAACCATGTTTTGTTTCGGTTATAAATACAAGAGTACGCTGTGTGCATACATGTGCATACATGTGCCTGTGTTGGGCAAGTATTTTTTTTATGTAGATTATGGTCAAAAAGGTTTGAAATTTGCCTTGAGGGACTCTGGGCTTCCAGGGTCATGGAAGGCAAGAAGACCTCAACAGTAAGAGAACTCCAAGGCAAGGAATCTCTACCCAAACCACTAACAATCATGACTCAGCAGTGATTATAGTACCATGGTTAAGAGCACACACAGGCTTAACACACTTGGCGTTAGACTTCAGGGGAATTTGATTCCTTCCATTCAGTAACTACAGGACATATATCTATAAAATGGGAATCATGGCTGTATTATAACTGTGACCTGATGATGTTTTATGGGTTAAATGCAGGAGCACATGCTAAGACCTTAGCATGTTTCTTGGACCACAGCACACTCTCCTGAGTGATACAGATAACTAAGGCATTTATGGTTCCTTTAGTAGCCAAAGTGAAGACAGGGAATGGAAACTAAAATATTCTGAAAGCCTCCTATGTGCCAGGCATGTCAGGAAATCTTACTCAAATTCAAGAACTTCTTAAAGCTCTTATTTAAGAACTTCTCTAAAAAATAAGTTTTGTGTTCTTGAGGGTTAGAAAGGTCAAGCAACTCACCCATGCTTTCACAACCAAGTAGTACCGCTAGGACTCAGACCCAGAACTGCTCCCATCAAAATAATGGCAGGGTAATTGTCAAAAACAGTGATGATGATGAGCATAAAAAGGATGAAAAGATAAATTATCTTTAAAGCCTAAAACTGCAATGCATTTCCTCCTTGCCAATGGTGGTCCCTGATGGTATTGTTGTAACCTCAGGATACAGCTTGAGGGTTATTACCACCTCCTGGAATGTTAGGTCAAGAAGACAGGGGTTCTCTTTGTTTAGTGCTGCATCCCCCATGCCCCTTAGAACATATGGGGTATCCAATAAAGTATTTGTTGAATGAGTAAAGGAATCCTATTTTTAGAGAAGTCTACAACCATAGTTAACCTAAAGGAGCATGGCACAAAACTAGTTTGTGAGTCTTTAGTAGAAAGTCTACCTGGTGATGTAATGACTCTTGGGATGCCCAAAGAGACATTTGAGCTATGTCTACACTACAGTACTACCTCTTTCTAACAACAGAATATTATTTGTCCTCCAAATCTACATTGTTTTTCTTGCTTCATTTCACTAGGTTAAAAAGTGCTAGAGTAGAAGATATATGCAATCACAAAATACCATGCCATTTCTGGGGTCTTGAGAAACAAACTAGCGGGACCTAAGAGAGTGTCTTATCAGAGCTGCTTGAGGCTATCAAACAGAGTACCCAGGGGCAAAACATCACATTCAAGCAGCATTGTTGCCCAAAATGTTGGAGAAAAGTGCATCTTGGGTACGTTATACAAAGTGATTGATTAGATTTCCCTTCCTAGAAATTCATTTTTAGGAAAATTATATTAAACATTGTCTACTGAAGCAACCAACAAAATCTTCATCATCACCATATTTTAAAGGAAGGAATAAGCAGCTCTCCTCTGCTCAGGTGGAGGAGGACAGTGTGGGTTTAAGCAGGGATGGACTAGATGACCTCATTGGGTCCTATCCTTATTTATGATGACATCTTCATCATTGCTGAGTATTTGGAAATTTCATGGAACAGTAGAGACATGGCAATAAAAATGAAAGTTAAAGCTGAGAAATGGATGTCTTTTACAAGTCAGTTAGATAATTGGGCATTCACTGGGAAAGCAATTCAAGAGAAAACAGAGGAGACCAAAGATTTCAGGTCTCTATGCCTATAATGTTGAATCACTGCCATAAAAAAAGAAGTCTATTGATGTCTGGGGAAACTGGAAATGGTCATGGTAAATGGAAGCTGTATGGTTCATTTACTGCTATAAAGGATTCCATCAGCTCTTCTGTAGGTTATTATAGCTGCATTTGAAAATGTGAATGTTAAAGTAAAAACCAATAGCAACTACCTGAGACCAGATTAAAAACTGTGTTCAATGGTTTATCATTTTTTAAATGCTGGTTAATATAATGATTTACTAAAGAAATTTGAGTCAATTAAAGGGTTTGTTGCAGGAAATTGTAATAAATCTCTGGGTTTGGTTTTGTTTCACAGTTTTTCACCTTTGAGCAGTATAAGAAATTGCTAGGATATGTGTCACTGTCACCAGCATTGGTAAGTGAGAATATTTATTATACTTAAGTGCGTGTGTTATTTCATAAAGCAAAATCTGGAGACAAAAAGCCTTTTGATTCCCCAAGCCCAACTACTAAAATATGAATTCAAGTTATTCAATGTTCAGCTACTTGTTGAAAGCCATCTTCCTAATAACTCACAATTTAGCTATTTTATAGCACCCTGTGATGAATTTATGATAATAATGATATGTGTAGGAAGGCTCAGATGAGATGTGGTCAAGAATGTAAAATAAAGAGTACATTTGTCAAAGACTTTTTTAAAGCCAAAACATGCATGTTTACATACTGCACATATCTATGCAAAAGTCAACGTGCCTAAAATTATTTCCTAGCAGGTTACTTTTCCAGCGTTTACTTACTATAGAAAATATAGGACTTCGGATCACTCTGTGGTCAGAGATGGACTGAAGAACGTTTTATAGTCAGGGAGAATAGGAATCATACAATGACACATGTCAACTATTACATGAAAATCACTTGTTGATTTGAACATTTTTCCAATGCCACTCCTTTCCTTCTGAATGACTTTGCTGCTTTTCACAAAACGGGTTAAATTATATTGACCAATTGGCTTCTACAAATATGTGCTTGCAATGGGAGCTCCAGAGAAAGCAAATGCACTGATTTCTCCCTTCAAATCTTCTAAACAAAACGAAGTAAAATTTGCACTGGCCCTCCAATTGAATCCCCCCACCCCTGTTTTCCTGGTAAAATGTACCTCAAAACGCAACCAAAAAGGTAGTGTTCTGAGCTTCAATTCTTTAAATACTTTACTTGTACAGGTTCATTTCAGAACATTTACTCTGCCAAAAGACTATCCAAGAAATATCTGTTATTTAAAAAGTCATGCATGTCCCTTTTCTAGGAAGGGTCCTATTAAGAAAACTAATAGCATGGCTTAGTGTTACAACAAAGAAACCTCTTGTCCAGCCTCCTACCTAAAAAGGTGGCTCTGAGGCGTGGCCTCATAAAAAAGAAGTGGTAGCCTAGTCCTAAGTTATTTTTTAATTCCTCGGTGTCTCCCCTTAATGTCCTCCTTAACTTTGAAAACATCTTGTAAAAAAAAGGAATTAAAAACCTTCCTAGCAAAAGACAATAAAATGTGGTCTCCAGAGGGCCAGCTGGTTGTTCCTGCGCAGAGCATTGGTACCATGTGAGAAATGCAGTTCTTTCGACTCTCTTGAGAATTGAAACAGAAAAGCATTTGGCCACTCCAGTTACCATAACCAAGTGAATGCAAACTGTATACAGTTTTCCCCTTCTCTTGAACTCATTTATTCTAGTGTTTTTTCTTTTCTTTTCTTTTCTTTTTCTTTTTTTCTTTTTCTTTTTTTTTTTTTTTTGATACAGCTAGACACTTAAACAGCCATTAAATGTCCCCTGGTGCTCTCACATGAAAAGCCTAGGAGGCTGGGAACCCAACAGTTATTGCTGGTCTCTGGAACAATCTAAGTAATATGATCTGCTGATAGCTGATCAATTCTTTTGACAAGGGACCGCTGAACGCTATTTCTGACAGCAAATGTAGCTGAGTTTATAGAACAAAATAGTGAATTACTTGGAAGATTGCATGTAGTTATAAAAACCTGAACATCTGGATTTTAGCTTTTTCAGTCAGAGAAGTTGGGGACTAGTATTTCTTTCCCTGCTTTTGGCTCCCATGATGGAAGTCCAAGATACATGAATAAAATATTTGGTCTATTACCCTCTAAAACATGTTTAAAATTGTAATGAAGGAGCGGGAAAGGAAAACATCATTAGTTACTCCCTCTCTTCTGGAATCTGGGTACAATGCCATTCTTGCTGTCCACCTGTATGTGCAACAGTAAGAATGGCTTTTGTGTAGCTCTTTACAAAGGGCTTTCACACCTGATTTTAACCTTAGGTAAGGAGGTTAGATATTATTGTTTCCATTTTACAGATGAGAAAACTATGGCTTATAAAAGATTCAGTGACTTAGACACAGAGCTGCAGATAATGCATGTGGTGTCTTCATGTGAATTATGAAAAGGCACCCCTTTCTCTGGACTGATGCCTCTCCAGGACCCCTGCTCGGCAAGCCAGGTGTAGGCTAGACTGCAGATTCCACACACATTGTTGTGCACAAACTACTGTATGTGGCAGCTCTGGTCTAACTCAGCCAGTGAGTGGCAGAACCGAGACTTAAACCCAGACCTCCCAGCTCTGGACTTCCCTCCACTGCTAAGGTCTTAGAACATTACTTTCTCACTTTCTTTTAGTCTCCTACTTTGAAGAAATTACAGACTCCTAGTAAGAGTTATCTGTTCTTTATTCTTCACTAGCTTTTTTCCCTCTTAGTTGGACATGGTACTACCTCTTCTAAAATTAGAACTTCAGCACTAAAGAATTATTTTTTTCACATCTGTTTCGCAGGTAAAGGCTTTGTTTTATTTTGTTTTCCTCCTCTGTGTGTATGTGTGGGTGTTGTGTGTTTTTTCATTGTGGTTCTTTTGATATGGATTTTCTGAAAAACCTTTAAGAACCTTTAGAGAAAAATTCTAGAAAGTTTTTCTTTCCTACTGCAGAGATTCTTAACAGATAGCAAGTAATGTTCTAGATTTTAGTTGAGGCCTTCAGGACAATCTAGTCTTTTCCAACCTCATTCCGTGGCTTCTAGGTTTAGAAGAATATGGCAATTATCAGTTTTTTAAAAAATAGGGAAAGGATGAATAAAAAATAATTTTTTGTTTGATAATAGTCTAAAATAGTGACTCTAAGAATATGGCCTTAAATTTAAATGCGTTCAGCTATACTGTTTCGGTACCTGAAATTTTGCTTTTTATAAATGCTTTATTTGTGGTTCTGCTCCTTGAATTTTTTAATCTGCTCAATAAATGTACTTAAGTAAATGTTTTAAAAAGCGAAGCTTTCCTTTTACAAGTCAAACCCTCTGTTAATTGTTACATGTGCACATGTTTTAGTATTCACCTTGAATCAGTAAAACAACCTTTCTTTTCATTAAAGGAAAAAGTCATTGTTGATGGGGCTTTGACATTTTATTTTGAATTGTTAGGATGTGGTTTGCGGCTTCTGTAATTTCTTCTTCATGAATTGTCAGCATCTAATCAAGAACTAAGGCTGTTTAGTAATGGTATATGGTGCATTTATGTAAGTTTCTCCATTCTCATCACAACATTCAGTTACATAGTGTTATGAGTAAGATGCGTTACCCAATACACATGATAACTTGCTTTAAAGTATTCATTGATTTAATTTTTCTAGACATTTGCCATTGCTGGACTGGGATCTGGACTAACAGAAGCCATCGTGGTTAACCCTTTTGAGGTAGTAAAAGTTGGCTTGCAAGCCAATCGGAACAAATTTGCAGAGGTAATCATTTAAGGTTTTCTATTGTTGAGGGAATGTAAAAACAAATATTTTTAAGTATTTATAAGAAAGTATGAACCCAGCTCTTATTCACTTGCTAAAATCATAGAAAATTATTGGTAAGGAAAAGTCAAATTTCTCCCACAAGGAAAATGTTAACAAAAACACGCTGAAGTCTGAGAAACAAACACATGTTTACACATTTTTATTTTAGAGCTCTAATGTAATCTATAATGACTTATTTGGAGATGTTTTCCCTACATTTGGCAACACTTCTACTTTACATTATGCTAGACTAGACTGCAGCAAAACCACTGAGGTTCGAATATTTTTGTTTCTTAAAAAAATTATGAAGTCGTTAAAAAAAAATTACCTCAACCCTTTTCCCACTCCACCCATGACCCTCCCCCAAAGATTCTGATAATCTGTCAAGCTTGTCTTTGGGTTAAATCTGAAAGAGCAAGTTACTAAACCTGTATAGATATCACCACTTGGACGATGATAGGTCTTGACGTTTAATCGCTGGTACATGATGTTTCGTGAAGACAGCTTCCCTTGGTGTATGCTGACTTTGTTTCCTTCCCGTTGCCTAATAATTCCTGTTAAACCACCAAGTCCAACTGTTCTTGCTTTATTCTTTTGGGTACCAAGCATAAGGTAGAGAAAAAAATAAGGGGATTTGTATTCCAGGTCTTTCTCAGCATTTTAATTTAATTCCACAACTGGGTAGCATGTGGTATAAATTGGTTTGGAGTATCTGCTGACCTGAATTTCTCTATAGAAAAGTTCCCCTGCCTACTACTTAAGCAGCTGCTAGTGGGTGGAGAGCCCCCTCTCTCCCACCCCACTTCCTGCCTGAGAGCTCCCTGGCAGCTTCCTGAGCAGAGGTGTGGGAAAGGTTGGGCGGGGGGGGGCTACTCACCTGTAGCTGCCAAGCCCGAGGAGGACAGGGTTAGCCTGCTACAGCAGATGGTATCTACTCAGTTGAAGTCAATCCTAATTAAGGGAGATTTTTTTTCCTTTTAAGTTTCAAGAGATTATCTTAATAACACTGATATATAGCATTTCAGAAAAGATTGAAAATCTTTGTATTACCCTAGTCTTTGTTTCTGTTTGCTTTCTTTCTATTCTTTCTTAACTGATAGAAAAAGAACAATGAGGAATAAGAGGAAATGAAAGAAACACCTTTCAAATGCCCTATCAATATGGAGCATTTAAAACAGACCCATAGAATCTGCTCATGGAAAATCTGCCTTGTTAGACAGGGGGAATTACTAGCTAGAAAACTTTGGAGCTCCCCATCCAATTCCTCACTTTACTTGTTGGGAAGCTTGTCTTGGAGCAGCAATGAGTAAGCAAAGGAATAAACAGGTCTCCAACTGCATCCTTTATCAAGGCAGCTGGTAACCAGAGGGACACAGTGGGACAAGCACCAGGTAGCGCTCTCAAGAATGAAAATAATGAGTTATCACGGCACCTCTGCTCATGCCTTTTGTTCTTTGTTTTCTCCTCTGCCCTCAGTGAGGTTCTACACTTAGGCCAAGTAAGAGCTGTTAATGTTTTGCATGGGTTAAGGCCTTGCTAGAACATGGGAATACCCCTTCCAGCCCAACACAAGAATGCCACATGTACATGTGTTCCCAGCTCATTTACACGAATGCAGTCTGCGTAAACTGTTTATGTTTATGCAGCCATTTTTTAAGTAGAGAAGAAAGGGGCACTTGTTTGGGATCATTTCTTTTGCATAATCCACTGCACTGGATTCATTGCCAGATAATTACTTAGACAAAGTAAAATCTATTAAGTATATTAGAAAATATTTGCAATATTGCTTCAACTAGTCAGAACTTAACAACGTAGGGATCATGTTGGTCACACGTGTCAGCAACTATCAAGATTTGGTGGCTGAACTGAGGTGCTACTTTATAGGCAATATTGATCAAACTGAAAGTAGTTACTAGTACATAGTCACCCAACATAAAGTAATGGGACTATGCCTATCGCAAAAAATTACCTGAAACAGATGATGGGGTAAGAATAGCAAATTTGGATCTAGTCATTTAAAAGTAACTTCCCATCACTTTTGGCAATAAATCTATTTCCTGTGTCTTTTGTCTAGGACCCAATAACTCCAAAGCCCTTCTCCACTGACTAGTGCTTTCTTTTACCCACCAAAGGAATACCCTTTTGTTAATCTGAACCTGTATTGAATTCATCCAAATATTAGGTGTGCTCACTTGATCGTTTGTATGGCCAAGACTAATTATTGCTTTCTTCACTATGGGATTTTGAAGGTTTTCAAGAAGTATAGGGGGTAGGGATGAAGAAGGGGAAGAGGAAGAGAAAAAGAAAGGAAGGAAGAATACAATTAATTAAAGGCCCAATGCATTTAAAAATTATACTTTTTTTAAGGAAAAAAAAGTTTGAATCCAAGTATAAAGGTAATGAATACTTATGTTAGAAAACACCAAAACAACTATGTACTCCTATGTATACATATGAGTGTATAAATGATCTAGGGCAACACTGCCCAATAGAAATGTAATGTGAGCCACATTTTGTAGTAGCTATATTAAAAAAGGTAAAAAGAAACAGATGAAATTAATTTAGTACTATATTTTATTTAACTCAATATACCCAAAATATTATCACTTCAACATGTAATCACTATAAAAATTATATGAGATAATTTACACTCTATTTTCATACTTAGTCTTTAAATCTCATATATATATTATGCTTACAAGCACACTTGAATTTGAACTACGACATTTCAAGTTCTGAATAGCCACATGTGGGTAGTGCCGTCCTTAGAAGAAAATGCAGGTCTAGAGGAATTCATACAAACTTCTCACTGGATACCTCTGAAAAGAAGATTGAAGTGGGAGAGAGAAAGGCAAGAATTTAAGGGAATGTTTTTGTGTAATTGAATGTTTAACGTGAGAATGTATTCTGTATTCTGTGAACATTCACTTTAAAAAGTAACAGGTGTTCATCATAGAAGATTTAGGAAACACGGAATAGTATAAAGAAAAGTAATGTTCTAACGGCTCTACCCTCAAGGAGAACCTTCCCAGCTGATCTGGGTGGGAATGACTTGCTGGCCCATCTTAGGATTCAACCAGGTTCCTCTTTCATAAGGGAAGAATAATAGTAATAGCCACATCAAATACTATAATGAGTGTTAAAAGAGACATATATATAAATCTGTCAATATAGTCTGGCATATAGTAATGGTTTAATAACTGTTAGTGGATATTACTACAACATGCTTTTTATGTGAATTTAAATGTGATGATATATGAAATGGTCTTAACATAGCGGCTGGTACATGGTAGACACTTAAGTAAAGAAAACTATTTCTACATGGAAGTTGATCTTATAAATCCTTAAGTTTAAGTAGAGACAGATTTATCTTGAGGTACTGCCCTGATTAATATGGAGCAGTCCCAACTGACTCCAGCGTAGGCATGAAAACAGCTTACTGAGCAATGGGCCGCCTGTTCTTTAGGTCATTCTCAACTGCCAGTTGGATCCATATAGCCTGAATTCTTTATCAAGGCCTAAGGGCCGACAGCCTAGTTACAGTGCCTATTGACAAAGTCTTTAAACTCAGATGTGGGTCCACTGTCATACATATATAGCAGCAGAAGTGTATTTGAAGCCACTTTGAAATGAGTTTTACCACAATGAAGACATTCTTCCTCGGGAATCGCTGCATGAGATCAATGTGCATTGTTGATCAAGACTTCTTAGTCACTTCACATGGAGGTGTGAACTAAGCTCATTTTTAGCCTTTTCAGTTAATTACAAGTACCAGCTGTGGTGGAACACTAACTGGATGGGCGGATACAGAATAGTGGCTTGACAACACCCTTAAGAAAAGCAGAGCAATTTTCCCAGAGGCTATTTGCTGGTAGATAACTCTTGCTCTGCCAATACTGTGAGTTTCTTAGGTAGCATGTTTCCCCTCCTGGATATGAACACCCTGGGTGCAACACAGTGATTGTGGATTTTCCTATTTTGTCGGCCTGGGGAGGTGAGTCACAAATTGGTCCTCCAAATATGAAATTTCCTAAGAAGTTGCTACTGTTGAGGGAGAATCTTCAGTGGAAGACTGGCTAAGGCAACTGTCGTCGATGTTACTCCTAATATTACACTTATGTCTTACAGGCCATGGCAGAGTGATGAAGTAGGAGCAAAAGGACTGCCACAGTCCAACGTGTCCAGAAGGAGGTTGTGGGATATAGGCAGATGCCCCCATAGTCCTGTGGGGAGAGGATGACTGGCAGAGAGCCAGAATGGGGGCCTCTGAGGCATGAAATCCAGCACCAGGCCCCCCAACCTGGAGCTCAAGGGCATTACTGGCTAGAGCAGGGGCTGCGTCTGTTTTGTTCTTGGAGCCCCAAGGGCAGTTCCCATCAGGATTTCCTGGGCATGGCAGGCTCTCTGCGGGCCCAGCTGCCTGACTTCTCCCCTCCTTGTTCTAGATCTGATTCTCTAACCAGTCAGTAGTATGTTACCCATAAAATGTGTCTTTCCACCCAGGTTAGCCATAAACTACTCTAAAAATCTAAAGGAAATTGTGGTTAATTCAATTTCTGATACTTCTCTCTTTTTTTTTTTTTTTTCTGTCTTCTGTGTAAAGTATTTCAATGGGCGTGCTTGTCTCTTCGCTGCTTTTTAAATTGTCGCCATGTCGGCCAAAGATTGTAAGCCCTGCCACACTTCCCAATTCCAACACTAGAATCTTGGCCAGCATTTTAAAATTCACGGCGAATACAGAACACCGATCTCAAAAAAGAAAAAAAGAAAAAGAAAAAGAAAAAAGGGAAGAAAACTGGTCTCTAATTTAAATATGCTTGACCTTCTGTGGGGAGCGGAGTAATCACAGCCTTGTCATGGTCTGGTTTGGTTTGTGGGTGTAAAAGCATGTTCAGGTAAAATCTGGGTGGACCCAAGTTTCTCCCTGTCCTTCAAACTAAACCCAAGCAAAATGTCGT